CTCTGTGCCAATTTACATCTTGCGCTATGCGCTTGGGCAGTAGTGGTGGTGGCCTACGTTTCTCTTACACGCCGTCTGCTCTGTTGATAAGCAATTTCAAACCTAAGCTAGATTAAATATTCGCGATTCTCAATTCTTCGTGAAGATTATTTAGCTTGCAGCCGCGCTAGGCTCAGATGCATTCAATCCCGACTTACGGATGCGTCTTTTGAAGGCCATTTATATTTTTTGATGTACTTTCCACCCTAGAAATGTGTGCACGTCTTTCTAAAACACCCTGTATAGGTCATTTCGACACTCCTTCATTCAAACTTCACACAAATATGTGTCGATATATCATCTTTAGCATACGAGTGTAAAAATTTTAGATACCTTATAAATTGTAGCGAAACGCGAAAATTATCTCAATATGCACGATGATAGAAATAATCAATTCATTCCACTTGGCTGTTTAACCATGTAAATAAAAGGCGCGTAAGTCTTAAGGCTTACGGCGGAGCGTATAACAATACTACACTAACAAACAAAGTGATAACAAAGATAAATGAGAGATGTTCTTGAACTAACTGTATTACGCCTATCTATTAACAATTGTATTTTAACCGTGGCACGTCGAGCTGAAGAAGCAATGACTTGTTGAACTGTCGGGGCTTTTGTTGTAAGCGGTTGCTATGGATACCAAAGTAGATAAATTAGAAAAGCAAGAAATAATAGAAGGTAAGTACAATCATCATACAGATACACAATTCACATGTCTTTTGCAAATATTTGGTATAAACATATACATGGATTTTACGAGAAATGATTCTGATTATGCGAATTCACCAATTCAGTATACGTGATTTTGGTAGATAACTGGCTATTTGGCCTATACTCAAAAAGCGCAACTAATGTAAAATATTGTTGTTGTCAGCGTTAGGATAGCTTTGTAATAACGGATACGTGTTGAGGTATACAAAAGTATCTAGTTCGTCTTTTAATTGACTCGCAGCCTTTGTGTACGCTTAATTCCCAAGATTGCAACCTTCAAGATGGTATGTAGAGATGCGGTGTTAGAACCTCTCTTGGCTATACAAAAACAGAGTCAGGGGTGGAGCCGCATTATGATGACACTACAGGTCCGGCGTAAGCATCACATGTATGCTATTGCAATACCGTGTAATATACGTTCAATGACTTTAACTATGGTACATGATTTTTGCAATGATAATTGGAATGACTTATTGGGATATATCATACAGTAAAATATATAATCACGGATCCAAACCTATAGAAAATGAAGCAAGCGATGACATGTACATTTATATGTAATTTCTTCAATTCCTCAATCACTGTGCTGCAGTTAATTCGCCTTAGTTGTAGCTCTCTTGGCGTACTATTATCTAGTAGGAAATCATTGAAACGAATAGAAAATAATGGTGTGCACATGTTTTATTTTTTATAGGTACAATGTATACAGTTTTTTACCACAAATATTACACACCCGAAACATCATAGGAAGTGTAAATAGTGGCAGTAGTGAAAAGTGTACAGATTTCGATATATTTCTTCGATTTATCAAATTTTCTAAAAAGGACAGTTGACAACTAAAGTAGGTATAGTTATAGTTACCGTTCTTGGCGGTTACGTCATCAATGCCTTATGAAATAAAATAACAGATCGACTCTTCGTGCTATGGGCGGATCTTAATATTCAGCGCTTCTGCTACTCTCTTCAGTACGCATGACACTGTTTTCATTCTCTTCCTGGAAATACCCTAATAAATTTAGAACGAGCTGACGGTCTTCTCCATTGATCGTATTTCCGGACATCGTAATTTTATATTGAAGATTGATAACAGGACAACTGGAATCGGATGCCGATGTTGTCACTCTGACACACAGAGGTAGGTTGCGTGTGTATGAATGAGGGAGATGGAGATATATAAAGGGATACTGGTAGACTTACTTTGACCCGCCAAGAACGGTGACTACAACTATAACATCATTTTCTGAACATAAATTTTCCAAGGACGGGTCAATCAGATAATAAGCGAGAGAGAAGTAGAGCAACAAAATATAAGACATTCAGTTTGAGAAAATGACAAATTTAAACAATGAAGTGTTTCTTATTTGCATGAAAACATATTTTATTAAATGCTCCAATACATTTTTAACATGCAATCATTTTCATGAGCCCGAATTTAAATTTGATAACTTGATCCATCTAAAAAATAAGTAGGAGTGGAGCCTTTTCGAAAAGCACTGTATGTGATAAACAAACATTTTATCTCATCCATAGACAAGACCTACTGAGTGGTACAGCCTCGGTAGATGATAAATAGAAATAATATTAATAGCATACTTTATGCTTCATGTCACCACTCTAACTTTATTTTTTTTATTGTACACCTTTTTTGAATTAATCTACAGTGCGATTCTGAAAAGGAACTACCGAATAGAGAGAGTGCATAAAAAATAACAAAAAAGTTCCTATGAATATATATGTACATTTCTATGCGACTATTAGGACGGAATAAATACAAAGTATAAACATATACAATATTACTATAATGAGTTAGGACTGCATAAAATTTTCAATGTCAAACTGTACCAATTTTCAAAATAGTTGTCTGACAAAAAAACTAAAGAAATGCGAGTCGTGTTAAATACATTTGCAATAGATGTTTCTTGCATAGAAAATAATTTTTATTTGTAGTCTGGTGCCACGAACATATTTGTAAGTATTGGATACGAAGTCCGTACCACATGTATACAGCTTTAAGTCAATATCACCGAAGATATAATGTTTTTCCGATTTGAAATTATAATTTTTACACCGGTAATGGGGCATTAGGACCCAACTATTCGTTCAACCTTTTTATCTACTTTATGCCTGTTGCTGGCTTTGTCTGAATCACTCTGTATACAAAAAATGAAATGTTTTTGTAATATTGTAATAGATTTATCTATTTCGGGCTTTTGTGCCCTTAATAACACAGCTTGATTTCAGGATGATTAACTTTATTCTCCAAGGTACCTATTATTTTAGGCTATTCAGAAATATAGATTCTCCATAATCGCTTAAATGGCTCAAGTGGCATCATATAGTATACATAGTAACTGAAGTTTGTATAATCGATTCTGTAAATATTTTTTAGTTACAGATACAACACAATGCTGCTCAACGAGAAACGTGCTGTGGTATCTAGTCTTCACCGGTTTTGCGGTCAACTACTTAATAAGAATAAACTTAAACATAGCTTTGGTATCTATGGTACTACCAAGACCTAAAACCAATGTATCGTTCACTAGTGAATGCTTTATACAGAACATGACTATAAGGGTGATAAACAAACATTTTATCTCATCCATAGACAAGACCTACTGAGTGGTACAGCCTCGGTAGATGATAAATAGAAATAATATTAATAGCATACTTTATGCTTCATGTCACCACTCTAACTTTATTTTTTTTATTGTACACCTTTTTTGAATTAATCTACAGTGCGATTCTGAAAAGGAACTACCGAATAGAGAGAGTGCATAAAAAATAACAAAAAAGTTCCTATGAATATATATGTACATTTCTATGCGACTATTAGGACGGAATAAATACAAAGTATAAACATATACAATATTACTATAATGAGTTAGGACTGCATAAAATTTTCAATGTCAAACTGTACCAATTTTCAAAATAGTTGTCTGACAAAAAAACTAAAGAAATGCGAGTCGTGTTAAATACATTTGCAATAGATGTTTCTTGCATAGAAAATAATTTTTATTTGTAGTCTGGTGCCACGAACATATTTGTAAGTATTGGATACGAAGTCCGTACCACATGTATACAGCTTTAAGTCAATATCACCGAAGATATAATGTTTTTCCGATTTGAAATTATAATTTTTACACCGGTAATGGGGCATTAGGACCCAACTATTCGTTCAACCTTTTTATCTACTTTATGCCTGTTGCTGGCTTTGTCTGAATCACTCTGTATACAAAAAATGAAATGTTTTTGTAATATTGTAATAGATTTATCTATTTCGGGCTTTTGTGCCCTTAATAACACAGCTTGATTTCAGGATGATTAACTTTATTCTCCAAGGTACCTATTATTTTAGGCTATTCAGAAATATAGATTCTCCATAATCGCTTAAATGGCTCAAGTGGCATCATATAGTATACATAGTAACTGAAGTTTGTATAATCGATTCTGTAAATATTTTTTAGTTACAGATACAACACAATGCTGCTCAACGAGAAACGTGCTGTGGTATCTAGTCTTCACCGGTTTTGCGGTCAACTACTTAATAAGAATAAACTTAAACATAGCTTTGGTATCTATGGTACTACCAAGACCTAAAACCAATGTATCGTTCACTAGTGAATGCTTTATACAGAACATGACTATAAGGAATATCTCTGAAGATAATACCAAGTTATTAAATAGCACAGTAAGTAAAAGTAGAGAATTCCTGGAAGTTCATTGTCCACCCTAAAGACTTGACGGCGAGTCCATTGGTTGCTAGAAGGAATAAATGAACGATCATTTTTAGAGGAGAAAGAGGGAAGATTTAGTTTGTTTTTATCGATGTTCATCAAAAATTGCCGCAGTTCTAATTATATATAAAAATAACATAAGAAAATGGTATCAAATAATTTGTTGAATCCTCTAAAAAAAAATCAGTTACGGGCATGTACAACCGAAAAATTAAACGTTTCAAGCAAATCAAACAGACCAATTCAATTAGTCCATAGACATTCTTTCCCAGTAGTTTTACTGTCCATCCGGCAACGTTGCACTTTTCCATATCGCCAGATGCGGCAGCGCCCACCGCGGCACAACTGTAGATCGAGCATAACAGTCAAGCTGACCGGCGCGGCGGGCGGTGAGATCCGTTAGCAGAAGGAGACGCGTATCGGAACCGTTTCATCATCATTCTTCAACTTTTAAAGACAAATATACGGAAAAACCTTTGATGCGTGAAATATTCGAATGGAATTACCGGGGTTGGGAGGGTGTAAATAAAACATCAAGAAACTACATCCTCAAGGCTAAATTTTTAGCTCCTACATTTTTTCTGAATAGGATCAGGAACCTCTGAAACGCCAAAAAACGTAGTTTGACTGCGATTTATTTTGCTTGTGTTAGCCCTAGCACCGCCGACACTGACCCGATTTTTAAAAGCTGTAAGACTCATTCGTCTTGGCATGGTAGTAAACTTGTGTGAAAATCTCATCCAAATCGAAGCTGTACTTCTCAAGTTATAGACCGGCCAAGTATTAGCAGACAGGCAGACAGACAAACCAACTGGCAGACAGAACAACCTAAACGATTAGATTAGTTTTTCGTGACGTACGTGTCCTATGAAATACAGAAAACGTGATATCTCATTTTAGAATATGTTCGCGATTACAATGCTTCCTTGCAGTGGCGTGGGAAATAAAATAACTCATTTTGGCATTTACGTTAACAGGTGCGTATTCAGGGGGGAGCTTTGGGGCTCAAGCTTCTCCCCCTGCACCACCCCAGCCCAGCTTCATGGTCCAATACGTTTTGTCTTATATAAAAGGGCAATAGTATTTTTAGTCTTACAGGAAGATCGAATGTGAGACTGATGAAATTGCAATAGTGTCGGATTAATTGAAATAAATCTCTGAAAGTCAAAACGCGTTTTGAATGGCATGTCTCTTTAGTAACTGAAAATCGTGAAACATTTCTTCTAATCAAATAAACAGCACCATGATTATCGCTTAAATGGAGCACTTATTAATAAATCAGACTTTTAACGAATTTTTGAGGCAGGTTTTTGTATTTTTCTTGAGATTACGTGAAAACCAACAAAATTCACAGATCCTTTTTTATGGCATATACCTTTTGCGAAATCTGAGCTCCCTACAGTACTTTTTCCTGGATACCCCAATGCGCTTACCAAAAGGTATCATACGTGGGACATACGAGTACTAGTATAGAACGCAGGGTTGGTCTATTGTGATACGGTATATGGAAAAGTTGCTACTCACATCATTAACCTAATTTTAAGAAGGTAAAATTGATCATACTGATATCAGATTCACTGTTTATGTTGCTGAGTTGGCTGATTACCAAAATCTAACCGGCTTCCTCAGGAGGATAGATCTGTCGGATATATAAATTATTGATAGATGTTGCGCCAAAATAGGTTAGACAGTCGTAATAGGAAACTGTTGCCTACTAGCCATAGGCCACATGGAAACACGCTCTGTTTAATACAGTTATATAAAAGATACACTTCACAATGTGATTCCTGACTTGTAATCTGGTTTTCGGTCGGAGCATAGTACGGAGCTACAGGCAGTTAGGCTTGTTGAGTGAGTAACCAGGAGCTTCACCCTTAACGAAGGTAATGTCATTTTGCTTGGATGTCTCGAAGGCATCTGACAAGGTGTGGCACAAGAGGCTCTTCTATAAATTGATCTAAAAGGGTTTCCTCTTCTTAAAATCTCTCCTCGAGGATAGGAAATTTCGGATCAAAATTAATGATGTTCTTTCGAAAACACGGCTCGTCAGAAACTGCGTCCCTCAGGGTTCGGTTCTTGGACCAATCCTTTAATCACTTTTCATTCATTATGTTTCTTGCCCCAGCAACTGTATAGATCATGCTGATGACAGTGCCCTGGTGTCCCAGTCGTGTTCTGGGAATCTGGTCCACGACAGGCTTCTAAGTTCGGTGAACGAGGTATTGGAACGGGCAGATCTGTGGCTGATCAAAGTTAATCATTCGAAAATTGTAGTAAAAAACGTAGTGGCGTCCCGTCTAACCCTGACCAGTATAGGCCGAGAGATAAATGTCTTTATCAATGCTATCTCGGATATTGCTCAGAAAGTAATAGTTGTTTGGTTCAAGACATAATATTTGTAAGAGACTGTGGAGTACATGATTTGAATGGGAATCAGAATCGAGATAGAGACAGCCATGGTGTCCCGGCATTTAGGCCACCCACCACACACAAATAAATAACATAATTATTGTAAAGTATTTTAATTTCATGAAATAATAATATAAACGGTGACATTTAATTAGCTCACCATATTTTGGGCAATGATAGTTCCCAAAAAAATTCCGTTGCGACCATAGGTCTTTTGAGGAGAGTTGTTCATATTGATGGGTACTAACATTCCCCAAAATGTGCTCAGCTAATTGAATGTCATCCTTTATATAGATAGGTACACACCTTAAAGTTAAAAACAATTTTTCAGCGGCACTTAAAATTCTATCTGCATTGACTTTTTTCCAATTCCGCTTGAATATTAATTAGAATATAAATCATATAATCGGAGGTTTCGATACTCATTCTGGTATACTCGAACAAAAAATGCTGGATACATTCTGTATTTCTCATACTTCTTATGGAATTGTCCATCTCTACCCCGATTCATATTCAAATCACTTACTCCACAATCTCTTTCAGTTATGTCTTCAACCAAAACCAAAAAACTACTACTTTCTAAGCAATATCGGGATAACGTTGATAAAGACATTTCTCTCTCGGTCTATACTGGTCGCGGCGACAAATGTAACTGTCCGTGGCCTGCAAACTGTACCGCGCGGATGGTCGCTCCGCTTCCTACATCGTCGTTCGGGCCGCCCATCCCTGTCGCCAAGCCGCAAGGTTTCAGTGAACGGAGTTCGCGTACCACGGGAAATTTCTGCCAAGTATCTTGCAGTCACTCTTGATAAGGAGATGACCTGGCAGCTCACTGCAGCGTTAAAAACTAAATTCCAAATCACTTTTCGGCAACTCTACCCTATGCTGAGTAGAACCTCAAAATTAAGTTTGTTTAACAAACTTATGCGTATACGCGGTTTGGTCTATTCTCGCCAAAATGCATTTGCGAAGCCTGCGGTTTTTGCAGAACAGAACCTTGCGTAACGCTCCATGGTATATGTCTCCAATGAGACCTATCACAGAGACCTTGACATCCCTTAGCTAAGAAACTACATCAAACATCAAGCACAGCTAGGCTAATGTCAAGCGGTATCGCTTAGCAACAATTTGATGCGCTAGTCAGTAGACTACAAAGTCTACATAGTTCACAAGAACACAAGACCGCGACTCGCACTGTGAACAAAATGAAATTATGCGATCTTAGGTCTAACAAAAATTACATTTTCTCTACAACAACCAATTTCTAAAATAGCTTTAGGATAAACTTAAAATTTCCGAATACTGAAGAACAATAAGAAGACGCGAAACTGACGCACTTCCTAGTCTTTGCTCTACTTTCTTCCTTCCCTTCTTTCTTCTTTTCTTCTTTCTCCTAGAATTAGTCTCGTATGTGGGCAACCTGACAGACCTTACTGACCTACAATACTTTAACCAAGAGCAAAGGTCCTACGGACCACTTTGACAGACAATGACGGATAGAAGAAAAGATACACTTCTGAGCAATGGAAGTCGTTATTTCCGGGCTAAGTGGTAGCTGCAGCCACAGCTATAGAAGTTTGGCTCCTGACTGCAGAATTTTGTTTATGTGTGTCATAGTAGGATCACATTCAGTTTTATACCACTTGTAAATGTACGTGATGACTGAACAAATTTTTATTCATCTCTATAGCTTATGCATTACATAACTAATATATCTTTTATTTGCTTTATGTGTACATAACATTTTTGGTAAATAATAACTATTTTATGGTTATGAACTGCAATAAAAATTAGAAATAAAAAACATCAGGTATAATTATTACTGATCAAATGTTTTTTATAGCCTCCGTCTATAACTTCCAACGTAACTTTCCTCTCACCATTCAATACTCTGGTGTTTGAGTCACGGAAATTCAACTGGAACGAGAAACAGCAAGGAAGCATCCTGGGTAGCTTTTTCTGGCTCCATTGGGTCACACAGATTCCTGGAGGTATTCTAGCTGGGAGGTAAGTTTTTATAATTAAGTTCTGCACAAGCTTTGAGCGGTCTCAGACGTCAGATCCACTTGCAGGTGGCCAAAACGTAGTACTCATTTTTCTTACTGGTCGCTCGAGTACGACATGAATCTGACAGCTGTTCCAGAAATTAAATAGAATATGGATTGCAACGTCAGCAGTTAAATTTCATGCGATCAGTTTCGTAATATTTCTATAATTGTTTCTTTACGAAGTATTTGGAAAAGCATCAATAAGGCGGTCACTACAGATTTATCAACATTTGAGTCAAATACAGGGTGGGCCATCTAAAGGGGAAGCATTTGCTTATAAAAAATACATTAAAAATATTTTTTGTTGTTCGTTTGAAAAGTCTTTTATTCTGATCCAAGGAAATTTGTTGTAATTACTTTTCAAAAATGATATCGCGCAAATGACCACCTCTGGCCTTGATAACCAAACGTGCCCTTCTTTCGGTGTTTTCCATCACGTTGGCCAATGTTTCGGCGGATATGGCGGCAATTTCTTGACGAATATTGTTCTTGAGACCAGTTAGAGTCCTTGGCTTGTTAGCGTATACCTTGGATTTCAAATAGCTCCACAAATAAAAGTCTAGTAGCATCAAATCAGGTGATCTCGGTGGCCAGTCAAAATAGCCATTTTTCAGTCGTCCAGGGAACAATGGTCGCAATAAATTGATTGTTGCTTGAGCTGTGCGGCATATAGCGCCATCCTGCTAGAACCAGTAATCGCTTCCATGTAACGAAAAATGTGCCTCGTCGGACATGATGATTTTTCACCAAAAGTCATCTTCATTTTTGGCCATTTCAATGCGCTATTTAGTAAAATCAAAGCGACACGGATAATCAGCTGGATTTAATTGATGAGCCATTTGAATTTTGTATGGAAACATGTTCAAATCCTTACGAATTATGCGTCGGTGAGTGGTTCGAGCGATACCTAACTCTTGAGAACGATGACGAAGGAGCCTCTTCAACACTGGCTTGTACGGCTTCGTTATTTTCATCGGAACGTCTTGTTCCGTGTCTGGATAGGTGACTGGCATTAGTAAGTCTACCTGTGTTTACAAATTTTGCGTATAAACGTCTGATAGTGTTATCAGATGGAACACTTTTAACTTTATTTTTTTTACGAAACGCACGTTTAGTTTTCACGACTGAGAAGTTATTTTGAATTTATAACTAAATAATTTCAGAGCGTGGTTTTGGTGTGTACTGTTCCATAGTTAAATTTTTACTGAAATGACGCTTTCAACGCGGTATGATCTGACAACTAATGTCAAAGATATAGGGTTGCTTGATGCTTCCACTTTTTCTCGTATTATCAGTATTTAAACAATTTTTAAATTTGTTGTCAATCTCAATAAGTAGGGCAAAAGTGTGAGCCAAGCGTAATGAGGCACCGTGTATTTTCGCATTCCGAAATCCCATTATATGTTGCTTCTAGTGTGCTTATGTGTCGAAATAAGAGAAATCCGATTGAAAGTGCGACTTTTTCACCCTATCTAGTAAAGTGTTCGAGGCACTGGCTGACATACTTTCATGCATTTTAGACAAAATATGCCATATCTCAAAAAACTCGTCCAAACGTAGAAGTGTTTTGGTGTATCTAAATATTTAAAGCTACGGATAATTTTAATATATGAAAAACGACTGTGATATCCACCTCAGCAGTGGGTCATTCTTTAAATGTATCCCCGGTGCAGGTTAAACCTGAGCAGTTTTTGAAAAAGTTTTTGCATAACCCGCCAGTAGGGACAACGATAACGTGAATGAATATCAAATAGCTATTACATATCGCGTACAAAATCCACAATATGACGTTATTGCATCTCCAAAACTAGTCGGACGCGATATACCTTTTGAGGTGTACAGCTCATTTCACGGTTTTTGACGTAGTCCATTTCCGCCCAGACAAAACACAACATGCCCAAAAGCGAGATTGTACAGCTCTGTATTTTGCTCAATGGTCTTAAAATAATATAACAGAATAAATCATTATTTTTATAGAAAGAAGTGCACATACTTTTTACAATTTCTTATTCACTGGAAGTACTTGAATCATCGTCCGAATGGTTAATATTAATTATTATAGGTTCAATTTGAATATTGATCATGTCCAGATCCCATGAATGCAATATTTCTAATTGTTTGCTGTCACTCTGTTAACAGCTTCATAAAACAATTTTTTCACGTCAGAAAATTTGAATGTTGTATTGTTTGAAGCCACATAGTCTTTTATATTTTGCCAAATCATTTCAATGGGAGTTGATTCGCAGTGGTAAGGGTCTAATTTTGTTTTTTAGCCATTTCGTCAATAACATTAAGGTTATATTTATATTTGTGCTGCCTGACTAGATGGATAAGTTCTCCTTTGATCATATTCTCATTGAAATTAATGTCTTTTGATAGGAGCCGTTATTGAATTTCTGACTTTCTTGTGGACATTGTGGGAAATAGTTTTCTAGTGTGGTATGCAGCATTATCAATGATGGCATTGTCGTCAAGCTTTGAGAGCGTTCCTTCAAACCATAGTTCAAATGAACTTCGTTCATTTTTTCATGGTAGTCGGTCGTTTTCTTTGACTAAAATGCCCATAGGGCAGTGGGCACAAAGCCATCTTCACTGCCAATGTGACAGATAACAAATTTCTTTTCCTGGAAATAATTATTTCATATAGTATTCAAGCAAACTGATAATAATACAAGCAGAGTATCTAACAGGTGCTGGTTCCAAATCTACCAGAAATAGCTAAGTTTAGTCTAGCTAAGTTTTCATCGTGGGCTCATACTTGATATCATTTTAGATACACGTACCTGACGGATTATTTAGGCCAGGGGTTAAGCCATCTAAGAAGGCTTGTCTTGCTGATTTAATTGTACAGTCAGCCCATACTTCAGGTTTTGTATGTCCTGCATTTATCTAGGTTTCATCCAAGTAATAAAGCTTCCTGCCCTGGTCGCCGTACTTCTTTATTGATTTTAAATAATTTCTTCTCCATAAAATTATCTCTTGGCTGTCCATCAAATTACTATTTATGCCCCGTTTTCTATACTAAAAATATAGTTCTTTGAGTAAACTATAGAAGGTGGTCCTTTTGAAAGTAGGTAACTCTTCATCACTATTAACCTTCTGTAATACTTTGTCTATGGTGGGACGTTCCTGCCTTTCAAAAAATTTATGCACTTTGCGTCTGATGGCTTTCCGATTAAAGTTGTCAACTGTATCCAACAGCTTCGTGTGATGCAGCCTCTTGTGAGGTATGCCAAGCTTCAGCTCCGCATATGGTTCACTTAGTTGACTTGCTTACTTATTTCCTTTGGAAATGATGACATATAGGCCAAGAACCGTGAAAAGAACTACTGCATTTATAAAAAATGTCAAAAGTCATTATTTAGGTGTTTTTCTGTCCCTGGTAAGAATGGAGCAGTATTGGAAAATGTCCAGTTTTTCATAGCATGCCATGTAAATGCTATAGAGATTATCTCACGAATAAAATGGTCTTCCATTCAAACTTCGCAAGAGCATGGGTTAGTGCAGTGCTTTGTACACACAGGAATTTCCGTGAATAAAAAATTAAATGACTAGACTAGACAAGTACATGCTGATGCGTTTAAAGCTGTTTACTATTGAGACATTTTCCAAAGAGTTATAACATTCAAATTATATACCCATCGACTGGACTATATTCAGACGATCTCAATCCAGCAGATAACGCCTACATAACTGAGGCCAAGTGTCAATGAGGAAGTTTTTTTGCCAGCTTAACAAGTACTGTTATCAATAGTTTCATTATTTGTTATTGCAGATATGGGACAAAGATAATATTCGGTCTATCCAACTGGTCAGCGGCCTTACTATGTTTTATCATCCCGTGGATGGCCTATAGAGGACCGGAATGGCTAATTTTTGTACGGATACTTCAAGGATTATTTGCTGTGAGTTAACATAATTGAGTCAATACCATAACATCATTTTTTATGTCTTATGGCAATCACATATAGGGTGTCCCACGTAAAACTGCAGCGATAATCTGAGTTTACACATTGGATAACCTGAAGATAGCCAACCTGATGCTATATTCTCGCGACCAAAAAATTATGGAAGATAAAATGAGATGCCATAGCGCCATCTATGAGACTTTGTCACATCTGTTTCTCTATTTCTATATATACACTTTGAAAAGGTTAATGCCGCTTATGAGCGTATAGAAATATATAAGTGACTACAGCGCCATCTACGAGACACTGACTTTTTCAAAGTACACGCAGGTTCAAAACAAACTCAACAGGCAAACTTTTGATCAAATTTGCAACGTCACAACTATTTTGTTTTCAACTCGATTTTGTTGACTTTTCCATAAAGCTGTAGGTACACTCATTAGCTTTAACTTGTTATACATGATAAATTGAAATAATGTTCCATTACCTCAATTTTGAGTCATTCTGTGGTGTGACTCCAATAGCCGATCAGACCGCAATGCATCCCATTATCAAGATATTTTATCTATGTTCTGTGCCGTATTCACGTCAATGCGCACAGTGGCTAAAGTTTTAAAAAGATTTTACCATCATTTTCCTAATTCTTTTCATAACTTTTTTAGTTTATATACGAGCTCATTGAAAGTTTTTCACCAAATTTTACAGAAATCTATTGTCTTTTTATTCGCTTTTAATTTCGTTTATCTACAGTTACCAAGAAAACGTAAGCTTTCGACTTAATTTAAAAGCAAAAACCGTATAATAATTCCAGGCTCTACGCTTTTGAAATACAGTGTCAAGACAATAAACATATCTCCCTTATCATTTTATTTTGGATTCGAGAACATTCAAGCGAGTTTCATTCTTTTCGAGCAGAATGAATGTCACAACAATTCAGGAATTTTAATCAGTATTTCATTTAGATAGGCGCGTTTTATGGTTTGTTCGTACAGTGGTCGGTGACTTGTTGGCGACTGTGTCTGGGATTAGGCTATGTGAATTCTGTCTAAATAGTAGCAGAATGAACGAAATTTGTGTGGCAGGGTCTTGGACACGATCACTGACAGGTTGGTGACAGCTGTACGAACAGGGGTCTAGACTTTTTCGCGTCGAATATTGCTTCCAGATAATTTTCATGAGTTGGAGCATGATTTTCCAATATTTTGCATTTAATAGAGCAACTAATTTAGCAATTGCTTGCTAAAGGTGATGGATAAAGTAATATTTCTCCAAATCATGTGAATCATTTTTGAAGAACAGATAGGTAATCTCAAACAAAGTAACAGTTGACAAATATCTAGTGATTTAGGATCTAGCGTATGCTTCTTGACAAATTCTTTGTTAATTCGGAAAGTGAGGAGTAGTCTAAAAGAGGATCTCGCCGATCAAGTATCATTACTGTATCCAATTCAATACTTGTGGCGTGTAACCAGGCCTCGAGATATACAGGGTGACCGGCAAGTTGGGACTTTGCTTTTCAGAAGGAACTACACCTGAAATAACAAAGCTAATGTACGGGAAAACGTAGAGAAAAAGTGAAAAAAAATTAATTAAAAAGTGCTCACCGTTCATTTGCAGAGAAATTTCAAGTTTGGCTATGTCACTTATAAGTACTGTTTGAAGTTGTCACCGTTGGTAAAATGTTTCGTAGGTATTGTAAGTAGTCTAGCCGTTTCGCGAAAATTAAATGTCTAATGAGCATACTATTTTACCATACCAGCCCAAATGTTTAAAGGAGATGTTTGTCGGAAATGTGACTACGTGAGGATTTTCCAATGACCACACATGAGCATTTACTTATTCACCCGGCATCTTGAAAAGGGACATTTTGTCGGTTTCTTTTGACATTACGTAGGTTTTTCTACAGGATGTTAACTTACCACGAGCTGTTGTGAACCTATTTTGTAGCTGTACGTGTTGCCTAAACGTCAGCGAAGGGCGATCATAGCGAGCAAACGTGGAATGAACTATTTGCAGATTAAAAACTACCTAGTCTGTAAGATGACATCTAGTCCATTTTTGACACTTTTTAGGTTTTTTACACCCCTGACCATACGTGTGAAGGTGGATTCGTCTAGGACCAATAAGGACTGCAACAACTATTCACAAGAACTCACTCTGACAGGAAAATCCTCAGCTTGTACTATCCATCATCACTCATCGTTTAAAAAAACTTGCACTTGTCTAGCCACTTTGAAGACAACATAAACTAAATTAATGTCTACAAGTTCTCGGTATTGCTGTACGAGTGTGCCATTTTGGTTTTCTTCGAACGATTGGTAAACAAATGTTTTGTTTACCTACGCTGTTGGCGTGGCCTGGGTTGAGTAGTACTGACGTGCATCGTGTCATCTCATTTTTTTTACACCGAATCAGAAGCCTAAATGCCAGGACATTGCGGCTGCAATGAGGATCTCAAAGAAACTTTGTTAATCTGATTTTTGAACTGCGGTAAGGATAGAAGGTCGAAGTCAGGCGGGTATGTCTGGCAGGCACAGCGCGGCGGCATCAAGGAGGAGAGCTCTGAGGAGCAAAGTCCATCATTCAGTCGGACAGCTCTCATCTGAACAGTATCGAGTATGGACAATATATACTAAGTGACATATAAATCCGAACACCAAGTTTAAATGGTTTTATTTTAATAAAATTTTGTATGAGTACTTAATGAAGCATAATAAGTAAATGATAAAAATTTCAAAATGATTGCACTGCTTTAAAGCCCTTTGACCTTTAATAATGTGTGGATGCACCCTGATGTGCTACGCATTCTCCAACGCGCCTAGGCATGCTTCTGATCAGGTGGTCAATGTCCTCCTGTGGTATCTCATTCCAGGCAAGCACCAACTCCTCTCGAAGTGCTTCTAGAGTCTGAGGAGGACGTTGCAAATTGAGCAATCTCCTACCCATCATATCCCACACGTGCTCAATTGGGGATAAGTCGGGAGATCTTGGTGGCCATGGTAACAATGTGACATCATTATGTTGAAAGAAGTCTATTGTGACTCTTGCAACATGTGGTCGGGCATTATCTTGTTGGAAAGTTGGATCTGCCAGGGTGTCAAGATAGGGTAAAAGATGGGGTTCTAGAACTTCGTGGATATAACGCTGCGCGTTCATGTTACCTCTGATGAAGATTAAAGGTGACCTGGAACCATAAGCTATAGCACCCCAAACTATAACTCCAACAGTGTGATGAACATGTCTTTCAACAAAAAACTGTGGATTCCTCCTTTCACCACGTCGCCTTCTAACCCTGGCACGACCATCGTACATGCCTAAACAAAATCGAGACTCGTCACTAAAGACAATACTGTTCCAGTCCTGATCCCAGAGTGACCGTTGTCTGCACCACTCAAGGCGATTACATCGATGTTCTCGAGCCCCAGTGTGGCCGGTATGAAAACAAGCCAAAACTTCTCATTCGTCGGTAAACACTTCGCATGCCAATAGGTCTTCCGTGTTCTGCAAACCATTCATTTGCAATGGACCTGGTAGTGGAGAAACGGTCCCTTAAGGCCAATAATCTTAGGCGACGATCTTCACGGTCTGTTGTTCTACGGCGGCGTCCAGTGCCCCTTGCTCTTTGCGTACGGCCTTCTCGAAGCCATGCCTGACAACACCTAACCACAGTGTCTACACTTCTTTGCACTCTAACTGCAATTGCCCAAAAAGAAAGTCCAGCTTTCCGAAGTCCCACTATATGGCCCCTATCAAACTCACTAAGGTGACGAAATCGTACAGGTCTCCGTACTCTAGACATCGTAACCGATCGTAAAGGATGTCAAGAACCAAAATCCGCCAACGTTGATTCTTTACTGCGGCTGAAATATTCATTTTTAGAGCGTTTGTGAATTAAAAAAAAGCAGTATAAAAACCGGAATGTCCAACTGATAAGGCTGAAAATTTTTTCACTTGTTGTTTACAGTATGATAAATACATTCACCAACTTTTATTAAAATAAAACCACTTAAACTGGGTGTTCGGATTTATATGTCACTTAGTATAGTTGGAGCGGTAGCACCGCAGACATGTGAGCAATACTCGAGGCTAGGTCTTGTCTGGGCCTTAGTTCGTGTGGAGAAAAGAACTTCTTATCCCTAAACAAATAATCTAGCTGTTTTCCAGCAGCTGACGTTATTAAAGAGTTGTTGTCGTGCCAGATCAACACCTCGCAGATGTGGACTCCGACCAGCCGAAATAAACAGATCTTTGGTAGAGCTCGACCATCCATCGAAACCGCATGAGCACTATGACGCTTTTTGATTGCCAGGGTAAAGTAGGTACTGTGTTTTGGAAGCATTAAACTATACAAGATTGTTGCGTCCCCAAGCAGTGTTAACCTCCAGATCTCTTGTCAGAGAGGAAGTCGCTGCTAGTCTTTTTTGATCCAGCTCATCGGCACGGACTGGCTTGTCACTCTGAATGTCTACATGTGCTTTCATCGGCAAAGCTGTGGATTGGATTGGTCGTACAGGAAAGGAGGTTGTTGACATGTAAGAGGATCAGCGTCGGAGCCAAGACCGATCTCAGAGGGACAACCGCGTTGGCGTTGTGGGATGAAGAGGAGAACCCGTTGATTATGATGGATATCTTGCGGCCAGAGAGAAAGTCAGCCACCCATCTGCAAAGCTCCTTTGGTAGGCCACAGGATGGAAGTTTGCATAGGAGAGCAACATGCCACAGCTGATTGAATACTTTTGTCATATCAAGAGTAACGACATGAGCTTCACCATAAGACTGGATGAGTTTACTCCAGAATTGCGTGGCGTAATCTAGGAGGTCTCCTGTAGATCGCTGGTGCTGGAAAGCATAAAGCCGTGACGTCAAATGTACTCCAGAGGCACCCGATTTATGCACCCCTCCATCATCTTTCTTTGAACAAAAAAACAGAGGTATAGACCTGTGGTTGAAAGGGTCGGTCTTAGATCCTTTTGACCTCATCGAGATAAAGGAGCGGATCATTGATTTTGCGAAGCCTGATATCTCGGTTATCTAAGTAATTTGGTGCATATGCTATTAGGAAAAACCGCTATTTTTTCAAAATCTATACGCCGTGTAAAGAAAAATCCAAACGTTACGTATTTTGCATTTTCTCAAATTCGTTTGCTCTACTTCTAGCATACTAGGTGATTCAAACAAATAATAAAGTCTTCTGACTCTTAGGTAGGAATTTCATTGCAGCGAATTATCAAGCTGTCTGTTCTTAGGGATTTTGTTGGCCTGCCATGCATAATTTGACTGCCAGCTGGATACCGCCAAACGAGAGAAGCAAGTTTGTCACGTCTTATTTAGGTAAATTAACTTTACAATAGGCGTATCCTTTAATTCACCGGTTGAGCAACCAGTGTAACTGGTGAATTAAAGAATACGCCTATTATGTTTTGTCATCTTAAACAATACGAGCCCCTTCCCACTTCAGTTGGCCCACGTCAAGATTTGTACCAAAATATGCTTTTATAAACTAAACATGACGAAACTATTTACTTCTAAAGCAATTTATTTTCCCAAAAACATTTTAGATACACTCTAGTCGTAAAAAATACATATTTGAAATCACTTAGACCTATAACTAATAGAACATCCGAAGAAATAAACAATGCGCGAAGAAAAGAAACAATTGAAAGATTAATTACCATTGGGTAACATCACCTTTATTTTTTATTACGGCTGAAGTTCTTTGGGGCATAGTGTTAACCAAGTTTTGGCAAAAATTTGGTGTAAAACAATCCCATATTTCTTGAAGCTTTTGTCTCAGTTCGGTGATTGTTCGAGCAGGATGTTGTCGTAGAACCTTTTTCATCTCGTGCCACAAAGTTTCAATAGGTCACAGATCTGGACTGCTAGAATAGAAACCCATTTCAAAAGTGGTACATTGTTTTCTTCAATCCATTTTATAGCCTTTTTGAGGTATGGCACGTTGCACCATCTTACTGAAACACAAAATCTTGGCCGGATGTCAAACATTCTTTCATCACTGGTAAAAGCGATTCTTCTAAAATTGCCAAATATTTGTTTGTATCCACATTTCCATCAATAAAATGAAGTTTTCCTACTCCTTTTGATGACAAACTGCTCCAGACCATAAGGGATGCTTCATTTTTTGCGAATAACTCAACTGCGACTGTCACCAACACAAACTTCGAATCGGGCCTCATCACTCCATTGTATTGCACACCATTGTTGAGGTGTCCATTGTCTATGTTCTTTAGCCCATCTAAGCCGATTTTTCTTTTGCAGTGGAGTTAATAGTGGCTTTTCTTTGGCCTATAAACAAGTTGTGCAACTTTAGGGTTTTTACTTCACTTTTGTTTATAAGAAAACTTACCTTGCAGGTGCTAAATCCCAGTTTGTGGGCCTCCCTACGAGTTGGGGACATCGAAATTCTCCTTACAACAGCGTCACTCCACAGAGCACTTAATTGTAAATAATTGGCACGCCTGTTTTTCACGATTATTCTTCTTAATGCTCTTCGGTCGGCATTTGTGACATTACCTTTTTTCACATATCGTGGCTTAATATTAACTGAACCAGTTACGTTATATCTTCTAACAATATTTATCACACTGTACCGCGATAAGTCTAACAAAGTTGCAATTTCTGAGTTTGATTTCCCAGAATTAAAAAATTGAATTATCAGTAACCGAATTTTCTCACTAATAACCTTTCCTCTACCCATTTTGAAAACCTTTACTACCCAAAACTATTTTAAACGTATTCTGACAGCTGTGATTAATAAAAACAATTGTCATGGCTTTTATTTTTCACAGCCACCTATGCGTTATAGACTTATTTTGCATTGAAATGAAAATAGGTTGATATGCTGTAATTGTAACATGTGTTATTTTTATGCTGCAAATTTGATTAGGCAGTGGTAAAGTTGGTGTTTTCTACTATATATTATCAAAATATTCATTGTTAATATTTTAAACCTATAACACCCTGCTACATTTTTATTATTTGTGTTTGATAATAAAAAAACTAAGACTTCAATAGTTGGGCCAACTGAAGTGGGAAGGGGCTCGTAGTCTTTTATATAGTAAGTACTTAAGCTTTCCAAAACTGATCCCCTTCGATGAAAAATCAACTTGTTGGTTTTTTAATAAAACATTTTGGGCTATCATCTGCAATTTGGTTGTCTATGTGAGATTTTTGGATGGAGACCATTTTTGAAACACTTCTAAATGGTAGGTGAAATGTGCTCCGTGAATCCCACGGTGACCCTCCCGATGACGGGTAATCTGGAAAGCTAGAAGCAGATGCTGCAGTTAGGCTGAGGCTCATATCCGTCATATCTGAGGTTAAAAAGGCAAACCATACCTATGTACCAGGATAATTACAGCAATGATGTTCGTGCTGTAAAAAGGACCCCAAAGCTTGACGACTGTAGTAGCAGTGGTGATTTGACAGGATTGCCATGCTGAAGGATTTTTTACCAAATTTGATTGTTACTTGGGGAATTTTTCGGGTATACAGGGTGTTCCTTAATGATATGCGAATAATTAAGGGTGTGAATCTACATGAAACGCCAATGGTTTTTTGCCAAATAAAAATTATTTTTAAAGTCCCCGTTCAATTCAAAACAAATGATCTCTCTTGATTTGTTTTCCTCCGATGCGCCATTTTTGAGTAAGAAAATAAAAACCGTTCTTTTGTCTAACTTGCACAATGATTATTAATTTAATTGGAAAAATTAAACACATTAGGGGTATTGAACAACAACTGACAACATAAACATATTCTTCTCTTAATTTCTCTACAGTGTTAATGGGACTTGTGTACACTAGTGTCTTGAGATAGCCCTACAAAAAGAAATCTAAACTGTTGAGGTCTGGGGACCTTGGTGGCCATTCTTGGGGCCCACCGCGGCCAGTCCAACGATTTGGATAAACAGTTTGTAAGTAATTACCAACCGCTACACTGAAATGCGCTGGTGCACCATCATGCATGTACCACATATTGTTTCTTATTACTAACGGAACATCATCAAGCAGCAAAGGTAACTGTTGTTGAAGAAAATTTAGGTAAGCCTGTCCGTCAAGTCGTCCCGGCAAGAAGAATAGGTCAATAAAGTGGTTGCCCATACGTTAACCGAATATTGGTGTTGGAAATGGGTTTCGATTACGGCATAGGGATTTTCTTCCGCCCACAAATGATTATTGTGGAAATTCTGAATGGCAATTCGAGAAAAATTAGCCTCGTCCGTGAACAGAATCATTGATTCAAATTGCGGATGTGTAACTTTTTGAAGATACCACTGACAAAAGGTCACACGCCTTGAAAAATCAATGGAAAGTAATTCCTGTACTCTTAAAATATGGTAAGGATATAACAAAAAAATCCACTACAATTCTCCAAACAATTTGATGGCAAATATTTAAGTGTCTAGCGATCTTCCTCGTACCCGTTTCAGGATGTTCATAGACTTCGTGCAGCACTGCTTCCTCAATTTTAGGTGTTCTAACACTTAGAGGTCTACCTTCAGATGTTCCTTTTCGGACAGAACCAGTTTCAACAAGACGACGATGAATATTAGAAAAGGTTCGACTATCTGGCAAAGCATGATCGGGATATTTCTGGTGATAAATCCGTCTGGCTTGCTCTCCATTACCGTCGGCAAGGCCATATCCGTAAGGCATTTCCGCCATTTATGCATTTGAATAATTCACCATTATTAACAAGATTGTAAAAACTAAATAATGAGAAAGATGCTACGGCGAACAGATTTGAATAACACATACTTGTCAGATGTCAAAAGCCAGTGACATAATCCAGAGCAACTAGATGTTTATTGCTAAATTGCATTTTTCAATTATTACATTAATTTTCTCGGACAATATGACGGTTTTTATTTTTTTACTCAAAAATGGCGCACCGAAGAAAAACGATTCAAGAGAGATTATTTGGTTTAAATTGAACGGGGAATTTAAAAATAATTTTTATTTGGCAAACAATTATTGACGTACCATTTTTTTCTTAAAAAATATCGAAGTCAATACCCGTACGCACGCTACTGTTAAAGCTAAAAATTATTTTTGCATTGAATTATATGCAACTTGATTAACTTCCACTATGTACTACGAGTAAATATCAGTGAAATGTCTGAAGTGGTACTAAAAATATTAATTAATTTCCATTTTTTCATGAAACTTCAACACCTTGAGGTTCTGTAAGGAAACATTTTTGACCATAGTTTATTGAGCAAACTAACATTAATTTTTCATGTAGATTCACACCCTTAAATATTCGCATAACATTAAGGAACACCCTGTATAATGTTCTGGGATAAATCACCCGTGTCGCAGATAGAAAGCATCCCCCCGCTTTCTGAGCCAAACCTGCTCCTGTCTATTAATTAAGAGTGCTTTGGGGACTTTTTTGAAAAGGCAGTAATTCTGAGCAAAATCTGAGGTATCTGTTTCTTTTATGAAACTCAATTTTTATGCATGATAAATAATAGCAGAACAGGTTACAGCAGCCTTGAGTATACAATTATGCACTTTCAATGATGCGTACAATGCGCTAATCTCTAATGCAGTTAGTTTGGATCGTTTTTTATGGCGCTCTAGACGTGGGTAGCAGTGGTAGTTGTATTGATGGGAAGGCAGAGCTTGACAACTAGGCCACTTTTGACCATTTTTGCCGTCCCCTTGGACCAGCACTGCACTACTCCATATGCTTGTCTAGTGAAACTGATTATTGAGTGAATCAGCTCCAGCACCGTTCAGGTGTGTACATGATACTAATAATAATATTAATAATAATGATAATAATAGCAACAAATAATAATAATAATAGTAATAATACGTCACTGCTCTATTGGAATCGCTCAATAATAACAGATATAGTCAACGCCAAACAAAGTGGCGTGCACGTCATCAAGGTGGGTGTGTTGAAAAATTTACATTGTTGCCAAACTTTTTGTAAAATAATAAAATTTATTATTTACATATCTAGGTTTATAAGCAATATTAACCTCAAATGAGAACAAAAACAATAGTATAATAAAATTATAGATCTGTACTTGCATAATCATTAAGTATGACAATTATTGATCAGATGACACTATGAAACTACCATATTTAATTGATAGCTTAAAGGTACTGAATAAAAATCCAAATGGGGTCCTCCAAATTTTATGCATGGTATTTATTTTACAGAATTCATACAGAAAAATGCATTCTAAAATTAGGTAAGCTACTGGTGTAAGCTTTTTCTGTACAATAAAGTTAGTCGGAGTTTCTTTCTTCAGCGCTGTCTGAATCTGAATCTTCATCACTCTCAAAGTTGATTATTAAAGGTTCGATGTCTGGTCGATCAAAAATTCGTTCTCTTTCATACCATTTAAAAATTTCTTGCTCAGTATGTCGAACACTATTTTTCCACATGTCTGGGGTAACCATTTGTAGAGCCTCGTTCCACATATCCAAACAGTCTTTTTCACTGTTACCATCTCTACCAATATGTCTGTTATAGTAACCTTTTGCTATGCCCCAAATTAACTCAATAGGGTTAAATATACAATGGTAAGGAGGCAGACGAAGAACTTTGTGCCCATGTTGTTCCGCCAATTCATCAATCACGTATATTTTAGGTGGTTTGTTTCTAAAAAAGCAGTTATTTTAAGAATAGGAATAAACAAAAGAAATATAAACTGTCGACCAAAATATATATAATTAAGAAGCATTATGTACCGAGCAACAATACTCAATAGCTCTGTTTTAAACATTGTGTTTAAAAATGGTATGTTTGGATTTGTCTTGGATATTTTTTTTTGTCCATGCATTGTTGGGCACTTTGTTCAATATCATGCTGTGATAAGGGGCGTTATCCAGTATAATCATAGATGGACTCTCCAATTTTTCTAATAACTGATGTTGAAACCATTTCAAAAAATTGTCCTGGTTCATCTCTCCATGGTAATCGCTCAATTTTGTTTTCGAAGAAAATATCGCTTCACTACCCTCAATAAACCCATTTTCATTTCCAGCATGTAATATAATGTATCTAAAATATATTAGTTTTAAATTTTATAGTGCAAATTGTGTAAAAGTACATATCTTTTACCATCTGTTTTAATAGCTTTCACGCTTTTTTGGTTTCCATTTTGCCAAGAGCGACCTATGGTCCCATTTTGAAATATCCAAGTTTCATCGAGGAAGACAAACTGGTATAAGGCCTCAACCTTGGCTTGATTGTATTGCCTTAGAAATTCCACCCTTTTCAAATCTATACTTGGTAGTTCCATGAGCCCTCGTCGCGGATTGTCCTTAAGCCGCTTAAATCCAAGATCTCTAAGCAACCGCCTTAAAGACGTGGCACTACCATCAAATAATGCCCTATCTCTTAATCGAGACCATAAAGTTTGTATCGTAACTTGTTCTTCTGAAACCATGTGTAATATGACATTATAATTTAGTTAACAAATTAATGCAAATTTCTGATAAGTTATTATAATAAGATCTTACTTTTGTGATACATATTATAGATCACTTCTCGAATGGCACTTATATCCAATGTCGCTGTGTTGGTTACACGTTTAATATAACTTCGCTTTTTCTTGGGCGATTCTAAATTTGCATCACTTTTCACACCCTCGGAAATACGACTAACTGTCCTTAAACTAATTTTTAAAGCAGCAGCAACACGCTACAAAAAATGAAATAAAATTTCACTATTATTAATATACATTACATATAATTATTAGTAACCTACCTCTTGAACAGCATTTAAAGGCAACAAAGGCCCGTTGTTGTCCCTTTCTTGCTCAAAGTAGTGCATTATCGAGGCCACGAGTTCCTTACACCGACTATTTAACTGTTTGGGCATCTTTATATACCAAAATTGCCTTTATCTACTCGTAAAATGAATAATTTTGTTTTGAAACAAACAGTTGTTGATTTACAGTATGCGGGGCCAAAGGATTTATAAAGATTTGAAATGCCACAAATTGATTCAGTGTCAAAATTAATACAAATGTCAGTTCCCAGTTTAAATAAGTTTCAAGGTGACAATGTGTCAACGCTGCGAAATCGGTTTAGTGCGTTTACATGTCGATAAGTGATTGGAGCGTTTGCAAAACATTTTATTTCGCATAATGCATCTAAATTTATCAGAAAGCAACTTATGTGATATTATAATAACAATGTTTATATGACTATTAACCATAATAAGAGAGTAATGACCATTTTACAATTTATATATCACATTAATATGAAACTGCAATAGAGCAATTGTTTGTGATAGAAACCTAGGCATTAGGTCGGGGAATTTTTATCGTGATGACGTGCACGCCACTTTGTTTGGCGTTGACTATAGGTACAAACATACAACACCACATACCCTGACATTGTTTACATAGACAAAAAGGAGAAGTCTGCTCTGGTAATAGATATAGGTGTTCCCCTTACTATTAGAGCTTATGGAAACTGAGTAAAGCGGCCATTGTTCCCATTGTCATCTCGGTAGAAGGAGTAGTAACAAACCGTTTTCTACATCTTGAAGCAGCAGATCTTCCTAAATGCTTCTGGCTCTTGTCCAAAAAGCGGCTATTCTTGCCACTTGCCGCCTCGTAAGCAAAATCCTTGCAATAGGATAAGGCGAAATTCTTCACTACGTAGCCGATGCATACCTTCCAAAGTGGAAGATAAGAAAAGGAATAGTAATAATAAAACGTCTTTATTAGAATCACAACAAAAAGGCGTAGACTAGTCAGTTGGCTACTCTTACACCCAACCCTATTGTTGAGGAAATTCGAACATATTTTACAATACAAAATAAATTATTGACAAATTCACCCTCCTCTTTTGATTTACCAAAAAGGAAACAGATGAGAAAAAATCATGATTGGACGAAAATACAAAACAACAACAGAAAGAAAAGATCATAAAAGCTAATCACATCAGATCTAACTGATTTTTAACCAGCTTCCTGAATGTTACAGCACGTTTGCTTCTCCAGCCAGGGTCGGTTGGGTTGTACAACCTCACTGCATTTAGAGTAAAATATTTTTGAAATAATGCGGAGTAGTGCAAATGCATGTAATGTGGTGGCAGCCTGATTCAACTAGTAGGAGATAGGTCATTAAGATATATTGCAGAATTGCTCTTGAATGTTTGCTTTATTTCTCTTTGCAGGCAGTTCTGTAGGAGTAGCAATCACCTACCCAATTTGTGGTTTCGTGATAGACCGCTGGGGCTGGGAAGTAGTGTTTTACTCCAGCGGTTTCACCGGAACAGTTTGGTTCGCCGCTTGGTGGCTGCTGATCTATGACAATCCTCATGAACATCCTCGAATCACTCACAACGAGAGGGAGTATATTGTGAATAGTTTGGGACAGAGCGTTGCTAAAGATAAGGTATGATAAAAATTCTTGTAACTTGTAAATAAAAGCATTATACTTTGGAAAAAACAAGCGATGAGTTGGATAATACGCAAGGAAGTACTTACTTAAACTCCTGTTGCAAGCAAGAACACTTGCTGAGGTGTCCTGTGACCTATTTCGCACAAAGTAAAATATACAGTGCTCCTCTAAAAGGTACTCCTCATACTGATTTTTTGAGCGGGTCAAGCTATCTAATGATGATAATCCCCTAGTTAATGAAGATAGGTATCGTCCATCCTTATCAATATCGGTAAACATGTTGTACAAAAGTAATAAGCTTTTTCCAATCAATAATCATCAAAAGCGTTACAATTTCAGACGTGCAAATATTATCCTATTATATCATAGTCTGTTGGATGTAGATTGGAACATTCTAACAAATATTACTAATGCTAACGATGCGGTCACTTGTTTTTATAATAAGCTTAATGAGGCACTGGATGCACATGTTCCGCTGAACAAAAACTTTAAGCGCAAGTATCCTTCTTGGTATACAAGCGAAATTATTAAAATTGTAAAACAAAAAGACAAAGCTCATAGAAAGTTCAAGCAAACTAGATTTCTTACACATTATCAAGAGTTCAGAAGGCTTCGAGGAGTGTTTAAACATATAACTAGAGAGGCGTATGATATATATTTTCGATCAATGCAAGATAATTTGAAGGAAGATCCTCAATCTTTCTGGGCCTTTATCCATAGTAAAAACAACACAACTAGAATACCTAACAATATGACCTACAATGATGAGTCCATTAACGATCCCCAAGGTATAGTTGATGCTTTTGCCGATTTTTTCTCTAGTGTTTACTCGTTACCGGATAATATTGATGCCAATCATAGCTTAAAGTTCGATCATAATGCCGCAATAGATATTAGTTGTGAACAAATTACGGTCGATGAAATTTTTGCTGCCAATCGGAAGCTAAAAGACAAGCTAACTGCAGGACCTGACCAAATTCCATCATTCTTTGTCAAGGATTGTATTAGAACATTGGTATTTCCATTGCAGATTCTGTTTAACTTAGTTTTGCACACATCTCTTTTCCCAGACATATGGAAAGCTGCAAAGGTGTGGCCAATTCCAAAAACAAAGAATTATAACTTAGTTTCTGATTATAGAGCAGTGTCTATCTTAAACAATTTTGCGAAACTCTTGGAGATCATATTGTATAACCGAATACATCTGTCCGTGAAAGACCATATTTCGATCCATCAACATGGTTTTATGAGGCATCGCTCAACTTTAACCAATTTAACGGAGTTCAGTCAATACTTATGACAAAGATTGGATAACAGAGGCCAGATTGACGTGGTATACACGGATTTTTCTAAAGCCTTTGATAAGGTTAACCATAATATATTGATTAGTAAGCTACGATACTTAGGTTTTAATAGTACTTATGTTGCGATTTTGACGTCCTACCTTTCTGAAAGAAAACACTATGTTTTCTACAATGGATACTATTCGCATGTTTACATTTCTACCAGCGGTGTTCCTCAATGCTCTAACTTAGGAGCCCTACTGTTCATTATTTTTGTTAATGATTTATGTGTCTCTTTGGACTGTCTGAAGATGATGTTTGCTGATGATTTAAAGTTTTTTATTTAGGTGTCTACTTTGACGAGGAACTCTCCTTCAATTATCATATAAACCAAATAATTTCTAGTGCATCGAAAATGTATGGCTTCATAATCAGAAACTGTAGGAACTTTGACAATATCTGTACATTGAAATCTTTATTTTTCAGCCTGATAAGGTCAAAACTTGAATATGGATCTCTTATATGGAGTAGACCTTGCAAGAGGTTCCGATTACAAAGACCTTTTGCAAAAGTTTGAGATTCAATCTTTAGAGCAGCGACGGAATCAATTTTCTGTATTGATTTTATATAAATTGTTGCATGGTCAAGTAGACTGTCCCCAAATTATCTCGCAGTTGCAATTTCTGGTGCCGCGGTTAGCTTCACGAGCTAGTGATCCTTTTTTCTGTCAAAGAGCACAGACTAACTTATTATCAAAAGCACCAGTTAATATGATGAGTAACAATGACAATAAAGTTGCTAACGACTGTGACATTTTTGGTTGCAATTATAATGAGATAAGGAATAAGACACGTTTTCTAAGTTAGACTTACCATTTTATATATATGTACTTAATACCTTTAAGCTTAAGCTTTTATTTTTATAAATTGCTCTGTTATTGGCGATAAGCTGTTGGGCGAAATCAATGCGTGAATTCACGTAAAAATAGTAGGAATGGACGAGATGCGGGTTCGAAACTCGCCGGTACCCATTTTTTCTTTCTCTAAAATTTGTTCACTGCAAATTGTTTTGTTTGAAGGCTCCAGTGCCATGGGGTGCAATCCTTACAGACAGGACCGTATTGATGAACATCGTTGCCCAAGTTGGTGGGGTATGGGGCTTTTTTACCTTGATGACCAATGGACCTTCTTACTTTAAGTTTATTCATGGATGGAATATTAGAGAGGTAAGACTTCAAAGGTTACGATTAACCCATTTAAGAGAGACGGAAAAGCTATATAAAGTATATTCTTCTGTTGCAGACTGGACTTCTATCCGGATTGCCTCATTTGCTCCGGATGGGTTGGGCCTATGTATTTTCACAACTGGGTGACTACTTATTGCGATCGGGCAAAATGTCGAGACCAAATGTTAGGAAACTTGCTACTGCAGTGTGTAAGTATGCATTAGTCATCATTCTTAATTTCGACTGATTTTCGACGAGTATATATCGTATGTCTACAGTTTTTTTGCATTTTCACCAAACACAGACTACCGTAATTTTATTTGAAAACTTGAGTTGAAGGAGGATAAAGGATTATCGTGTGGATATTTTCAATCCTAAATTATATTTAATTTTTTAGTTCATCTTATTAACAGCTAAGTAAAAGCTTGTTTATGAAAAACGTGTTTTTTATTTTAATAATTTTTTATTTTTTAGTATTGATGATGTTAAATAATTATTTTGGTGATTATAATTATCATAAAAATGTTCCATTAACACGACTCTATAAAACTTCTTACTTTATACCATTTTAATAGGCTTAAATGATATATGTAATGATGTCTGATGCAATGCTGTCGCTCATGAATTCATATTTGAGGGATAGAAGGTTATTTGTCGAATATGGTGGTCATAGGTCGAGTTACTATCGGGCCACGTCCGGGGTACCTCAAGGGTCAAATCTAGGTCCATTATTGTTTTTGATATTTATGAATGACTTGTAAAGTTATGACTTATACAAGAAAGGTTAACTATTTAATTTATGATAATTATAACATCAATGGTCAGGTTATAGACAGATGCACCTCTTATAGAGACCTTGGAGTCACTTTTGATACCAAGCTAACGTTTACTGAGCATATACGCAATATCTCGTCGGCTGCCACTCGACTACTTGGTTTCTGTATCAGAAACTGGAAGGGTTTCTCCAATATTGATACATTAATGACTTTATTTTTTACTTTTAAGCAGTTGGAGCAAGTTGGAGTATGCGACTCTGATCTGGTCTTCTATATACTAAAATTCTGACGTGATCCTTGAGGCCATTCAACGTAAAGCTTTAAAGTATTTTCACGTTAAATGCACAGGTTCTTATCCAGAAAGAGGTTGTAACTATAGTGCCCTATTAGAGTTTTTCAACTTGGATTCACTGTCAACAAGACGAAACATATTTGCTTTGTCGTTTTTGTATGGCCTCATTCACAATAAAATTGACTGTCAAAATTTACTTGAAAAAATATGTTTCCGCGTTCCAACGCTAGGGAGTCGACAACAAACGGCATTCTATTGTCAAGCTGGCCATACAAATGTTATGACAAAATCGCCAATTAATCTCATGTGCTGCGTCATGAACGGTGTTACTGAATCGTGTGATATTTACAGTGACAGTTGTGCATCGATTATTAACTGCTATAGATCATCCAATCTTATTTAGAATGTGTGATACTATAGATTTAAGTCCAAGAACCATGTCTCTTTAATTGTTATTTTTTCAGCATTTCCTGTAATTGGGTTTCACCTGTTGGAAATAAATAAATAAATAAATAAATCGATATTTTGCGGCGCTCGATATATGGAATTTAGAGTGATGTTATTTGATTTTTGTGTTTCTCTCATTAAGCCCTTTCATTAGATACCCATATCATATGGGTTACTATGAAAATGATGAATCGCCATTTTGCAACATCTGGCACATTGGATTCAAAATAGCGACATTTAAATTATTTTGTATTGACACGCGAACCAGCTCAATCGGTTAAGGTTAACTGGTTCAAAGATCAGTGCAAATAATTTTTCTCCACATACTAAGTTACTCGTACATACAAAAATGTCAAGTTAAATACAAGCTTGTAAAAAGAGGAGGGATGAGCGTCATATACAGTAGTGATTTTCTGTTTTAGGTTGTATCGGCCAAGGATTTTTCATGCTAGGGCTCGCATACTCAGGTTGTGATAGGTACAGAGCCATAGTGTTTTTGACCCTTGCAGTGGCTATCCATGGTGCTGTTTCTACTGGACCTTTAGCCAGCATTGTTGATATTAGTCCCAACTATGCAGGTAAGTACGTGGAATGAGGAATTTCTTAAAAACAAAAATTACCTTGTTTGAAAAGTGCAACGGTTTGGTTAATTTAAAGCTATCCAACAAAATTTCACTCTTAAAAACCTTCAAACCATCATTTCAGCCTGGCTTTTTGCACACAACCCTATATAATCGTGTTCGCAATGAAAATGTGCTTATTTTGCTATATGATTTATTTATTAAGCAAATTCCTGCAAATAACTAGTATCAACATACTTGTTTATACCTGCCAACCCAATAGTTACGTCAGAAAAAATTGAGATGGTATTAAATTTAAGCGCTAAGATTATTTGCAACCTTTAACAAAACGTCATTTTTCAACTTATAATTAATCATAGTCTCGCCAGGAGTTTCTTAGCCAACCCACTCGCGATATATTTTGCAACACACTAAATTCATCTATTAAACAGGTCGTGGAAGCCGCTTCTTATAATACACTTCACAATCTTTACGTGGCTTCCATACACACGAGTTATTAGCGCAACAAAAACAGCGATTAAGCCTTCCATTAGGTTATTTTTAATAGTTTTTATGACCTCAAAAGTGAACCGTGGTACAGTACAGTAGGTATAGAATCATAGAACCACAGTAATCACAAAACCAACAAAACTACAATAAAAGGCTACCTTGCCACATTGCATGTGTAACAAAAATCAGGACAATCCAATTTATTCAGATCACTGCATATTTGTTGCATTTGTTTTTATATGTGATTTAAAACTTATATTATTTTAACCAATATGTTTTCATAACGTGATATTACTTTAATTAAGCTTATCCAGCTTTACAAATTCCGGCAACAGCTCTAAATAATGAAAATACAGGGTGGCGCATCGAAAACGAAACAGACGCATTTCAGTAGCGTGTAGCCAGTGCAGCTCAATTTTCTTTTTGGAAAAACGCTCAGACCCGTCGATTTTGTTTTCGAGGGGGACACAAGTTTGGCAAAAATCACGTTAACACGTGCAGCCCCCTGGGCGGGGGTGACACCAACCCTAAAATATTAAATGGAAAGGGGGGTCGAGTGATACCTTATTTTAAAGGTCTTTCAATTCCCTTTATAATGATGTAAAATACATGAGCTTCAGTTTCGTAGTTTTGAAGATTTATTGATTTAAAGCTTAAAGTACACTTTAATAGGTACATCAAATTAGTTTGTACTACTTTCAGAAGAAATTTGACTAAAAGAATTTACTTAATAACTAAATGCTTTTCTTCACTACGCCCATGGTTTCTTTATCATTTTGTTGTTGAAAATAGCTATTGGAGCGTTTTTTTGTGGTAAAAAAGTTATTTCTTGAAGAAAGATAAGGAAATATCTCGTACTTATTTCAAATAGGAATTTAGTACATATTTAGTACAAATATTTTTCGGAAATAATCAGTCCGCTAATAAAACAGCAGAAATATTTAAAGAGCGACATGAGAACAGTAACGTGCATCGAAAATATGTTCTGGAACATGTAGCTAAATTTCGGGAAACTGGGTCAGTCGCCAATAAAAAACGCAATATTGAAAATCACATAACGAACAAAGCAATAGAAGTGGGGGTTTTAGGGCAAGTTTATGTAGATCCTACGTTAAGTACCCGCAAATTGGAGACTGCGTGTGGTGTTAGTTGACATACTGTCCAACGGATTCTAAAGGCCCATAGTTTCCATCCGTATAAAATTCACCTGATACAAGAACTTAATGAAGACGATTTTGATCGGCGATTAAAATTTTGTGAAGATATGAGTGAACTAATTATAAACGATGAAAATTTTCTATTCAACACTTGCTTTTCCGACGAGTGTTTAAATTGCGTTTAAATGGCGTAGTAAATCGTCATTACTGCCGATATTGGTCCGATTCTAATCCCAGAATTTATCATGAGGTTCATACAGGGCAGTCACAAAAATTAAATGCTTGGGCTGGTATTTTTGGCGATCATTTAGTTGGTCCTTTTTTCTTACCTGGAAATTTGACCGGTGAAATGTATTTGGAATTACTGGAAGACGCCATAGATCCTGCATTAACAGCCATAATTGAAAATCAGAATGATCGACGGTACATTGCGAATAGGTTGATGTTCCAACGGGATTACGTGTTCGACAATATTTAGATCAGACGTTTCCAGATCGATGGATTGGTAGAAGAGGTGCCATAGAATGGCGCCCAAGATCGCAATATTTATCACCTTTGGATTTCTTTATCTGGAGTCATTTAAAAAGCAAAATCTATGCTACTCAGCCAACATCATTAGAAGACCTGCGACAAAGAATTGTGAATGAGTGCCTTCAAATTACTCCTCAAATATTGCAAAATGTGCGACAACGTTTTGAGCAAAATCTTTATTATTGCATGCAGAGTCATGGTGGCCATTTTCAACATTTACTTGCTTAACGGGTCAGTTCATTCTTCATTTTTAAATTACTTTGCTGTCAAATGTATTTGTCTCCACTAATGATGATGTATTAGTTTTATTTAAGCTTTAAATCAATAAATTTTCAAAACTACTGAACTGAAGTACATTAATTTTATATCATTATAAAGAGGATTGAAAGATCTCTAAGATAAGGTATCACTCGCCCCCCTTTCCATTTAAGATTTTGAGGGTGGTGTCACCCCCGCTTAGGGGGCTGCACGTGCTAACGTGATTTTTCGCCAAACTTGTGTCCTCCTCGAAAACAAAATCGATGGGTCAGAGCGTTTTTCAAAAAAAAACTGGGCTGCCAGTAAATGCGTCTGTTTCGTCTTCGATGCGCCACCCTGTATAATCTTACGAAATAAGTCCTCCCCTATTCTCTGTAAATTGCTAAATGAGAGACTCATCGTTCATTTTCACTTTCCTCAAATATGTATTTGATCCATAGATGGTATTGACAGATATATTGATTCCCCTCAAAGTAGGGTATTTTTTCGCTTCAGACTTTGAAACACATCAACCGATACAATAAATATACCACAACCATACCTCAGGAAATAAAGCATTGAAAACATATTTTATCCTGCTTAGTCGGTTCATTTTCTATACCAAAGTTTGGAGCAGACAGGATGAACACAGGCCAAACAGTTACCGCTAAAGACATCATAACATCGAAACCCTGGTATAATAGTGCTTTTAAGAAAATACCCCGTGTCAAAGGATTTTTCTTCGATTTTAAAGGGTAGTACACATCAACACGGCTTGCAGTAACAATTGTTTTAACATATTTGTAATGTATTTAATACATCCAAATGATAATATGCATGTGCTTAGCTTTCCGCCTCGCTGTTTAAGGAACAAACTTTCAACTTTTAACACTTCTGGACCCTTTGCGGAATACAACCTCAAATCTTGAAGCAAATACATCGCAATCACCACCACCACACCAATAAGAATCCTGCGTGGTTCTTTGCGGTGCAACTGCAATGATAGGAACTTTCGCTAATATTACTTGTATTAAGACACAGCTAAATAACATAGGTAATTCAGTTCAAGACACAGAAAGAAGACGTCTGGTCTTGATAGCCTATTTACATTTTACCGCTATCTACATGTAGAGTCACTGAGGACATAAAACGAACAGTTGGGGGAATTGAAAAGAGCCATCCTATCTGGGAGAATTATCTGCTTATCTGTTTTGTTGAGTACAAGTTCTCCGGCTTTATTTTTCAAGGTATTTCATATTTATCGTTTGCATTCACCTTAGATCAGGAATAGGCTATGAAAAACTGCGTTCAACGGATATAGTTAAGAATAGACTTAGGCCGAGTAGTGGCTCTTGAGCACAAGGGCCTATGACAGAGCACTGGAGCTATTCCTTGGTGCTGGGTAAAATAAAAGAGCGAGTGCAGCATGAATTTGGAGATTTTGTTTGGTCTAAGGGTATTCAAACTAGAGGTATTCTATGTGTCCATAGAGTGAAAGGTACTTCGTCATAACGATGTACCTTATGACCGACTATCTAAATTTCAACTGGAAATATGATCTGTATACAGTGTGTCCCAGATTTGCTTCTCTATACAGGGATCTCGGCTCCTGTTATAACTACAGCAAACGTTAAATTAGGGAAGTTTTAGAGGAAACTTAGTGCTTTCCGTAGCCGGCTTCAGATTTACGATCGGTCAATTGGTTTTGAAAATATCAGCGAAAAACCGAAAATGGCGGAATTTGCTTTTTGCCAGTAAATCCAAAGCGTTTAATTTCACAACTGTCAAAATGTGACATTATACAGAAACTTTTTAAAGAAAAATAAGATAGCATGTGTGACATTTCGTGATGGTCTTTTGTTTTCCAGCAGCCCGCCTCAACTTTCATTTTTCTTATGGCCGCCATATTGGATCTTTTGATTTTTGAAAAGATTGTAAAATTTCCAGTCTAGTAATGTCGCATAAGTGCATAAAAGATTGGAGTTTTCTTCTAAGGAGGCCATGATTTATTTGTCAGAAAATAACATTAATGAGCAAGGCATAAAAACACATATACGCCTTGAATTTTCAATAGATTATTAACGTTAATATCGACTTCTCAACAAGTCAAATATATTGGAACAAATTTTTTCGTGCAACCTTAGTTAGTGTATACTAAGTGAAATATAAATCCGAACACCCAGTTTAAATGGTTTTATCTTAATAAAATTTTGTATAAGTACTTAATGAAGCATAATAGGTAAATGATAAACATTTCAAAATGATTGCACTGCTTAAAAGCCCTTTGACTTTTAATAATGTGTGGATGCACCCTGATGTGCTACGCATTCTCCAACGCGCCTAGGCATGCTTCTGATCAGGTAGTTTGCCTGAATCCTTGAACTCTTTTAGGTTTGTATGGATGGTACTTATTCTGATTTAACACTCTCCGTACTGTTGATTTTCACACACCAATTTATCGTTCTATAGTTCTTACTGGCTTTATTACACTAGGGATTTCGTTGACAGCTTGTAAGATGTTTCTGTCGCGGTTTTCAGTTTCAATATTGTATCCGCTTCTAGGTTGTTCGAATGCCCCATGGT